AAGCTTTTCAGTTTCACGAGGTCCTATTTATTAATTGTTGATCTTAGAGCCTGAGCTGTTGGTGTTTTGCTCAGGAAGTTGTCCCTATGCCAATGAATTACAGGCTTTTCCTCACTTTCTCTTCTCTTAGATACAGTGTATCTGGTTTTATGTTGGGGCCTTTGATCTTCTTGGACTTGAGTTTTGTGCAGGGTGCTAGATATAGATCTATTTGCATTTTTCTACATGTAGACATCTAGTTAGAGCAGCACCATTTGTTGAAACTGTTGTTTTTTCCATTGTATGGTTTTGTCGAAAACCAAGTGCCTGTAGCTATGTGGGTTTGTTTGTACATCTTCAATTTGATCCCTTTGATCAGCCTCTCTGTTTCTGTGCCATATCATGCAGTCTTTATTACTATTGCTTTGGAGTACAGCTTGAAATCAGGGATGGTGGTACATCCAGGAGTTCTTTTATTGTACAGAATTATTTTAGCTCTCCTGGGTCTTTTATTTTTTTCATATGAAGTTGATTGTTGCTCTTTCAATGTCTGTAAAGAATCATGTTGGGAATTTCATTGCATCTGTAGATTGCTTTTGGTAAGATGGAAACTTTAGACTATGTTAATCCTATTGATCCAGGAGCATGGGAGATCTTACCATTTTCGAGCATCTTTTTTTGATTTCTTTTGTCACAGACTTGAAGTTCTTGTCATATAGGTCTTTCACTTGCTTGGTTAGAGTTAAACCAAAATATTTTATATTATCTGTGGCTATCATAAAAGGTGTTTCCCCTAATTTCTTTCTCAGTCTGTTTAACTCTTGTGTAAAGGAGGGCTACTGATTTTTTTTTTTTAAGTTAAATTTGTATCCAGCCACTTTGCTGAATGTGTTTATCAGCTGTAAGAGTTCTCTGGTAGAATTTTTGGGGTCACTTATGTATACTATCATATTATCTGTGAATAGCGGTACTTTGATTTCTTTCTTTCCAATTTGTAGCCCCCATGATCTCCCTTAGTTGTCTTATTGCTCTAGCTAGAACGTCAAGTACTATATTGAATAGAAACAGAGAAAGTGGGCAGCTTGTCTTGTCCATGATGTTAGTAGGATTGCTTCATTTAAATTGATGTTGGCTTTTGGCTTACTGTATATTGCCTTTATTATGTTTAGGTATGCACCTTGTGTCCTTGATCTTTCCAAGCTTTAAATGTGAAGGGGTGTTTTATTTTGTAAAAAGCCTTTTCAGCATCTAATGAGATGATCATGTGGTTTTTTTTCTTTCAGATTGTTTATAGGGCATTGATGGATTTTCATATGTTGAACCATCCCTGCATCTCTGAGATGAAGCCTACTTGATCATGATGGATGATGTGTTCCTGGAATTGGTTTGCGAGTATTTTGTTCAATATTTTTGCATCAATGTTCATAATGGAGATTGGTCTTAAGTTTTCTTTCTTTGTTGGGTCTTTGGGGTCTTTGTAGGTATCAGGATGACTGTGGCCTCAGAGTAAATTTGGCAATGTTCTTTCTGTTTCTATTTTGTGGAATAGTTTCAGAAATTTTTATATTAGCTCTTCTTTGAAAGCCTGGTAGAATTCTGCACTGAAACCATCTGGCCCCGGGCTTTCTTTGGTTGGGAGACTTTTAATGACTACTTCTATTTTCTTAGGGGTTGTAGGTCTGTTTAAAATTGTTTCCCTGATTTTGACTTAATGTTGGTAAGTGGTATCTCTCAAGAAAATTATCCATTTTATTTAGATTTTCCGATTTTTTTGACATACAGGTTTTTGAAGTAAGATCTAATGATTCTTTAGATTTCCTTGGTATCTGTTGTTATGTGTCCCTTTTCATTTCTGATTTTTGCTAATTTGGATACTTTCTTTTTGCCTTTTAGTTAGTTTAGCTAGGGGTTTGTCTATCTTGTTGTTTTTCTCAAAAACAAACAAACAAACAAACAAACAAACAAACAAACAAACAGCTCTTGGTTTTTTGATTCTTTGTATTGTACTCTGTTTCTACTTTATTGCTTTTGCCCTGAGTTTGATTATTTCCTACCATCTACTCTTCTTGGGTGTGCTTGCTTCTTTTTGTTCTAAAACTTTCAGGTGTGCTTTTAAATTGTTAGTATGGCAGCTGGCCGTGGTGGTGCACATCTGTAATCTCAGCCTTAGGGGAGGCAGAGGCAAGGGAATCTCTGGGATTTCAAGGCCAGCCTGGTCTACAAAGCGAGCCCAGGACAGCCAAAGCTACACAGAGAAATCTTGTCTCAAAAAAAAAAAATTAGTGTATGATCTAAGTGCTATGAGCTTTTCTCTTAGCACTGATTTCATTGTTTCCCATAAGTTGGGGGTATGTTGTACCTTCATTTTCATTGAATTCTAAAGTCTTTAATTTCTTTCTTTCTTTCCTCCATGACCCAGTGGTCATTGAATAGAGAGTTGTTTAATTTCCGTGAGTTTTTAGATATTCTATTGTTTCTGTTGTTGAAAAACGGCTTTAATCCATGGTGGTCTTTATAGAACACAAGACGTTATTTCAATTTTCTTGTATCTGTTGAGGCTTGCTTTGTGTCCAAGTATGTGGTCAAATCTGGAGAAGGTTCTGTGCTGAGAAGAAGGTATTTTCTTTTGTGTTTGGATGGAATGTTCTGTAGATATCTGTTAGGTCCAATTGTCTCATAACATTGATTAGTTTCATTATATTTCTGTTTAGTTTCTGACTTGGTGACTTGTCCATTACTGAGAGAGGGGTTTTGAAATCTCCTACTATTAAAGTGTGGCATTCGATGTGTGATTTAAGTGTTAGCAATGTTTCTTTTATAAATGTGGGTGCCCTTACATTTGGGGCATATATGTTCAGAATTGAGATGTTATCTTGGTGAATTTTTACTTTGATGAATATGAAGTGCCCTTCCCCATCTCTTTTGATTAATTTTGGTTGAAAGACTATTTTATTGGACATTAGAATAGCTACTCAAACTTGCTTCTTGTGTCCATTTGCTTAGAAAACCTTTTCCCAGCCATTTACTCTGAGGTAATGTTTATCTTTGTTTCTTGTATGCAGAAAAATAATGTTTTCACAATCATTATGTTAGCCTGTGTCTTTTTATTGGTGAACTAAGACCATTGATGTTGAGAGATATTAATGACCAAAGATTGTTAATTCCTCTTATTTTTATGTTTGTGGTGTTAGTACATATGTTTGTTTGTGTGTGTGTCCCTTCTTTTGTTTTTGCTGATGTGGAATAATTTATTTATTGTTTTTTTTGTTTGTTTGTTTTATGTAGTTACCCTCTTTGGGGTGGAGTTATCCTCCTAGTTTTTTTCTGTAGGGCTGGATTTGTGGATAGATATTGTTTAAATTTGGTTTTGTCTTAGAATTTTTTGTTTTATCCATCTATGGTGTTTGAGAGTTTTGCTGAGTAAAGTGGTCTGAGATGACATCTGTGCTCTCTTAGGATTTGAAAGACATCTGCCAGGCCCTTCTGGCTTTTAGAGTCTCTGTTGTCAGGTGTAGGTCTGTCTTTATATGTTACTTGAGCTTATTCCCTTGCAGTTTTTAATATTATTATTATTATTTTGTCCTGTAGATTTAGTGTTTTGATTATTATGTGGTAGGAAGATTTCTTTTCTGGTCCAGTCTAATTGGTGTTTTGTATGTTTCTTGTATGTTTATAGACATCTCTTTCTTTAGGTTGGGGAAATTTTTTTTCTATGATTTTTGTTGAAAATATTTTTTGGTCCTTGAAGCTCACACTCTTCACCTTCTTTTTATTCATTTTATTCATAGGTTAGGTCTTCTCATAGTGTCCCATAATTCCTGGGTGTTTTCTTTCAGGAGATTTTTAGCTTTAACATTTTCTTTGATTGATGTATCAAATTTTCTATCATATCTTCTACACCTGAGATTCTTCTATCTTGTTGATTCTGTTGGTGATGTTTGCATCTATTGTTCCTGTTCTCTTCTCTAAGTTTTTCATCTTCAGGAATCTGTTAGATTGTGCTTTCTTTATTGCTTCTATTTCCATTTTCAAGTCTTAGACAGTTTTATTCCTTTCCTTCACCCATTTAATTGTGTTTTCCTCTATTTCTTTAAGGGATTTATTCATTTCTTCTGTAAAGGCCTTTATCATCTTCATGAGACTGGATTTAAGGTCATTATTTTTCTTTTTTGGTTCCTCCACTGTGTTAAGATATCCTGGGCTTTCTATAGTATGATAGTTGGGTTCTGGTGTTGTCATATTTCCCAGGCTCTTGATATTTGTGCTCTTATGCTGACCTTTAGCCCTCTACTTGTCTCTGGTATTGGCCTCAAGTAATACAAGGTGAGTTATGAGTCAGAATATGGAGCATTGGGGAGAAAGTGCAGTTTTACCTCTGTTGGGAGTGTTTTAGGGGAATGGACTGGCTGGGGTGGGGATGTGACTCTTACCTGGTGGTCCCTGATGGCCCAAGGTCTCTGGAAATGCAGGTATGGTTGTGACCCATGAGATAGAGCAGGCTTGAGAGAGTGTGTAGCTTACTCCTGCTGGGTTTGCCCAGGGGTCCGGTTCAGGTAGTGGGCTGGCATGTGGAGGTCTCACTTGTTTGTCCTGGGTGGCCACTATGGGCCTCTGTGGATGGGGGCTGTACACTGGGCCAGTAATGGGGTTTTCAGGGGACAGGGTGGGGTTCTCTCCTGATGGGTTTGTCGAGAAGACAAGGCAAGGGAATTGTGGTCTGAGGATTCTGACCTGGTGGTCCCTGGGGGCTGTCATCCTCCTGGAATGCTTGTAGGGGTGAGGTTCAGTAGACAGAGAATGCAGGGGGCAGGGCATCACCCACCACTGCTGTGTTTGCTCAGCTGCCTGGTACACCAGGGGTTGCCGAGTAGAGGTCTCACCTGTCTGCCCCAGATGGCCCCCATGGGCCTCCAGGAATTGGGGATCTTGAGTGGGAATGGGGTGCCCAGAGGATGGGGTAGGGCCTTCTGCTGCTGGGTTTGCAGGGATGATTTTTTTTTAAGGGTAGGAGTGATGGGGACATGGCACAGAGTAAGGGTGAGGAGTCAGTTCTTTTTTTCCATCGTGTAGGTTCTAGAGATTGAATTTAAGTCTTCAGCTTGGCAGCGAGCTCCTTTACCAACTGAGCCATCTTGCTGTCTCCATGAAGGATATTTCAATAGTTTGCTAGTTTATTTTGTCTAATGTCAGTGGGTATTCAGTAGTACCTTGAATTGAGAAGGGCTGTGTTTTTCTTACAGGATATCTGTATTTCACTGGATTTTACTTTTTATAGGACTTGAAATAGTTTTATGATTTTTGTAAGCATAAAAAAAAAGGTTTCTTAGAGCTGGAGAGATGGCTCAGAGGTTAAGAGCATTGTCTGCTCTTCCAGAGGTCCTGAGTTCAATTCCCAGCAACCACATGGTGGCTCACAACCATCTATAATGAGATCTGGTACCCTCTTCTGGTGTGAGGTCATAATGCAGACAGATTATTGTATACATAATAAATACATCTTTAAAAAATAGGTTCCTTTATAATATTTGCATGCTTACACAGTACTCTGTTCATTCACACTCACCCACATCACCCTTCCTTTGCTCCCTCCTGCACACTTCTTTCCTGTCATATCTGCAAGCAGCTTCACATTTACACTTTAAAATCTTAGCCCCACATATAAAAAGTAACATATAATATTGGCTTTTCTTTTCATTCCTTTTTTTTCCCACTCCCATTATCCCCTCCTCCTTCCACACAGTCTGCTTTTTGCTTTCATATCTAAAACCCTAGGAATTTAAAAAGCTTTTTTTTTTTTTTACATTTTTAAACTTATTTTTTATATTAATTACAGTCTATTCTCTTTGTATTCCACCTTAGGACTCTCCCTCATTCCCTCCCAATCTCACTCTCCCTCCCTCATCTCCACCCATGCCTCTTTCCAAGTCCACTGATAGGGGAGGTCCTCCTCCCCTTCCATCTGACCCTAGCTTATCAGGTCTCATCAGGACTGGCTGCATTGTCCTCCTCTGTGGCCTGGCAAGGTTGCTCCCCCCTCAGAGGGAGGTGGTCAAAGAGCCAGCCACTGAGCTCATGTCAGAGACAGTCCCTGTTCCCATTACTAGGCAACCCATTTGGATACTGAGCTGCCATGGGCTACATCTGTGCAGGCCTCTGAAAGACTCTACCCAGCAGTGTATCAAAGCAGATGCTGTGACTCATAACCAATCTTTGGGCAGAGTGCAGGGAATCTTATGAAAGAAAGGGGAGATAGTAAGACCCAGAGAGGACGGGAGCTCCACAAGGAGAACAACAGAGCCAAAAAATCTGGGCACAGTGTTTTTTTTTCTGAGAATTTAAAAATCTTGATTAAACCTTGAATCTAGATTCCTCATGTTAGAAAAAAAAAAAAACGTGATATTTACCTTGTGGGCCTGGCTTATTTCATTTAGCATGATTAAAGCCACTGCCTTTTTTTTTTTTTTTTCTTTCTTTCAGAAAACAGAGAAGATGGTGATGACAAGCAGGTGGTCGCGGAGATCATGGCAAGAAGCTTTATTCCAGCTGTGATAGCGACTGTTTCTTGGGAAGGCTTTCACTTTGCTGGGCATGAGATCCGAATTACCGAGGCCAAGGACTGTTACGGCGCATTTGTCTGGCCGTCGGTATAATTTTTACAAATTTGCTGTTGCTGCACCCAGTTATTTCCCAGTTTTATTTATTCTTCTTTTCTACTTGGAAGAAGGAAATAGGGAGCAAGATTCTATTCTGTGATCTTAGACAACACTAAAATGGAGTGTTGGGAATTTGCTTCCAACAATTAAGTTTGTTTCTGACTTTATTGACATTTGTAGGCTAAATAAAAATGTAGGTGTGTCTTCAGCTTTTATAACTATGAGATAGGAAAAGGGTAAATGTTTTCATTTCTTATTTTATTGGCTCTGTTTGAATTAAACAAGCATAAAGGATGTCTATATGCAGCTCACAAGCAGGATACTTCTAAAGACACCCACTCCTTTACGAGCGACTTCACGAAAGGTGGCAGACCACAGCTACTCCCATCACAACCTCACAAGTTACTTGGAATCATCCAGTATTGTGAGAAATGTAAAGATGGTCAATTTTAAACAACTACACTCTGTAGTTTCACTCATTTTTGCCTTTCTTTTCAACGAGGACTTTTTCTACCCAGCCAAAATGTTGAGCTCAGAGGAGGTACTTCTGATGATAATTTTCTAGAATGATTTGTATGAACATCCACAAATTTACTCATCCCCAGATGTGCACATGCTCAGGTCAGAATATCTATGGGGTTTAATTTTACTATTATTGCTTCAAACATCCTTTCCTCTCAATTTTCCTAGGCCCTTGTTCTATGCTATTTCCTGGAAACACATGCTAAGCAATATGACATGGTTGATAAAAATGTGATTGAAATTGGAGCTGGGACAGGGCTTGTCTCCATTGTGGCAAGTTTGCTTGGTAAGTAGGTATGTTTTTTATCAAATGGAGCTGGTCAGAAAACTAATGACCAAACATCAGTAGTCGCTTCTGCTTCCCAGTGTATTATGATCTAGGATTGTGTAACTCAACACCTGACCGTGAGTGGGTCCTAAAATTGGATGAGTGAGGCATCCGCCCACTCAGGGCCTCTTCTGCCCAGTTGCCCACGCATGGAGCTCTGCTTCCTGGGAACTCACTTCCCCATTCGGGAAGAGCCCTGTTAGGGCTGCGGGGAGGCCCCATCTCAAACCTTCGCTGGGAGGGCCGGGAAGGGATGAGCGCTCAGCACATGACATTGATGAGCTTCTCCCGCCCATGTGTAACTCCTTAATTATTTAAAACAGACTTCATCAAGGAACTCTACCAAGGTTAACATTTCTTTCCTGGTTTCTTCCCAGAATTTTCTGTGTAAGTAGCTTTAAATCTTCCCGTGGAATGTGAACTAACAAGCCTAGCCTGGGGGTGAACTTCATCATTCTGCTAGATTCCTTTGGGGGTTCTAGAATGCTATGCTTTTATGAACGTGCTCCTATTAAAATAGGGGAGGAGTATTAAGAATCACACAAAACTCATATCTCTGCTTTGATTTTTAGGGGTTTGTCTTTGAATTTGATTCTTCATTTCCATTCTTAATTTTATGACCTCCACGTCTCTCACCAGCATCTTTTCCATCTGAATGTGCAATACTGTCTCTCTGCATGGCTGCCATGGTTTGGCCCAATATTTTTGTTCTATATTTCATTGTTTTCATTTGGCTTCACCCTCTGAAGTTCACGACCCCAGTCTATCTTACTTTTTTTTTTATCATCAGAAGAACAAACCTATAGCTTTAAAATCTAAAAATGCATACTTTCCTTTTATTTTAATTTTCATAAGAATATATTGCAGTTGATGTGAAGAGATATCTGGCATGAGATTGGTGAATGGTTCTGGCTTGTTCTGAGTTCACCTAGACTTCTTATTCAGTTGTGGCTTCCCATTTCTTATCCTAGTTTGTGTTGTCTGATGCTATCTATGGCTTTGCTTAATATGAGCTTTATTTATAGGTTATTTTCAGATTCTGTTACTGGTCATTTTGAGCACCAAATGTTTAGAAATTAGCTGCTGCCAAGGTCCTTCATGAAAAGGGCACTGCCCTTCGCTCACAATTCAGAAACTGTTTCTGTTTTCTTCCCATAGGCATTCTGTCCTCCACCCAGGACCTTTGGCTTAGGGCTGTATACTTAAATATCTCCTGGTAGGAAGATTTATGCTTTGGATGGAGGCAAGGGGAAACTGGCCATAAATATGGCCATAAACATGTCATGGTTCTTTCCATGTGATTAATTTTAAAAAAGTTTTTTTTCCCCTTTCTCTACTCATATGAGCACTCCCTGTTCAATCCTAGAATACCCAGTATTACTTATATTCATGAAAGGCTTAGAATTTTTTCTTTCTAACTCTTGTTGGTCATGATAGTCATGTTTATTAGATGGTTGGAAAAAAAAATTTAAATCAACTTTTGTCAGGGTTGGAAGAAAGAATCAGGTCATTTCCTAATATCAACATGTATGCAGGCTCCTCTTTTCAGATGTCTTACACATTTAAAACAGTGATTGTACAAAGTTTTCTATTTTCTTCATCCAACTCTTGGTGGAAGGGCGATTCATAGAATACCACCTCCACAGAGTATTGGAATATTTCATTTTGTTGACTTACATGTCTCTTCGTATGTCTTGCATTTATTTCTATGTAACTACAATTCTTTACAGGTCTCCCAGCATCACATTCCAGCGGTGTTTACTAGTGGGTGATCCGCCTGTAAGTCTTGGGTCATTTCTCACCTAGGATGAGACTGATGAAATCTAGGCACTTCTTTGTGGTGCTTGTACCAGTTAGGTTTCTGTTGCCATGAGAAACACCAGGACCAAAAACAACTTAGGGAGAAAAGGGCTCATTTCATCTACAACCCTAAGGTCAGTCAAGGACCAGGAACCCAAGGCAGAAAACTGGAGGCAAGAATTGAGGCAGAGGCCATGGAGGAGTGCTATTTATTGGCTTTGGTTGGCATAGCTTGCTCAGCCTGTTTTCTTTTATTTCTTTCTCTCTTTCTTTTTTTTTTCACCTGAGATGAATAGATTTAATTTTTTTAATTTTTATTTTTTAATATTAATCACAGGTTATTTACTTTGTATCCCAGGCATAGCCTCCTCTCTCATTCCCTCCCAATACCACCCTCCCTCCCTCATCTCCTCCCTGTCCCTTTCCAAGTCCACTGCTAGGGGAGGTCCTCCTCCCCTTCCATCTGGCCCTAGCTTATCAGGTATCTTCAGGACTAGCTGCCATGTCCTCCTCTGTGGCCTAGCAAGGCTGATCCTCCCTCAGAGCAGGGGATGGAAAGGAACCAGTCATTGAATTCATGTCAGAAATAGTTCCTGTACCAGGACACACACTTGGATAAATGTTTTAATTTTTATTTATGTATTTTGCCTCCTGGTCTGTAGCCCTCTCCCTCCTCTCCTCCTGATCCCACCCTCACTCCTTCTTTTCTCCTTCTCCCTTACCTACTCCTCAGAGAAGGGGAGCCTCCCTCACCTCAGCATATCAAGTCACATCAGGACTGAGTGCACCACCCTCTTCCCCTATGGCCTGGCAAAGTAGCCCTGCCAGGGTAAAGTGATTGAAAAGCATCCAACAGAGTCCGTGTCAGAGTCAGCCCCCAATCCACTTACTAGGGAACTATATGAGGACCAAGCTGCCAATTGGCTACATCTGTGTAGGCGGCCTATGTCTAGTCCATGCATGGTCCTTGGCCGGTGCTTCAGTCTCCACAGTATCTCCCTGGGTCCTGGTTAGTTGGCTCTGTTGGTGTTCTTGTGGAGCTTCATCCCCTCTGAGTCCTTCTATCCTTCCCTCTACTCTTCCACAAGGCTCCCTGCGCTCCATCCAATGTTTGGTTGTGGGTCTTTGCATCTGTTTCCATCAGGTGCTGGGTGGAGCCACTCAGAGGACAGCTGTGCTAGGCTCCCATCTGTAAGCACAGCAGAGTATCGTTAATGGTGTCAGGGTTTAGCTGTCTCCCATGAAGTGGGTTTCAGGTTGGGCCAGGCATTGGTTAGACATTCTCTCAATCTCTGCTCTGTTTTTGACTCTGCACATTTTGTAGGCAGGGTAAATACTGGGTGGAAGTTTTTGTGGGCGGGTTGGTGCTCCCTTCCCTCCACTAGGAGCTGTGTCTAGTTAGAGGGTGGCCTCTTCCGTCTCCATGACACCTCAGCTTGCTCAGGGGTGACTCCATGTGCAGTGGGCTGGGCCTTCCCTCATTAATCATGAGTCAAGAAAATGTCCCCAGAGACCTGCCCACTGGATAGAAAACTAGCCAGTGTATTGTTGGTAGTTTGTTGCTTCTCTATGTCATTCACCAAGTTTCAAAGCATACAGAGGCTTGCAACTCTTTGGAAAGTACTGCCTTCATCAGTGACCTTGGATTATTGCCATGAGATGCTCTTTTTTTCCTAGCCTGTAATAGCTAAATAGAGAACAACAGTGATGAGCTAGACAAAGCCCAGGGGGTCAGCAGGACACAGAAGTATCATATCATGAGATCCTGTTGTTTTTGTTTGTTTTTTTGTTTGTTTGTTTGTTTTTTTAAGAGGGGCAGAGAAGTGATTTAGTGTCCATTCTGAAAAGCACTGTCCTATGCCTTTTCTTTGAGCCTAGTTGTGAAGAATCTCAGAGTGCATATTGGCTTGAAACCTGACTGACATTGCAAGAGGGTCACTTTTCCTATGAACCATTTTTTTTTTTTAAACAGGTGCTCGTGTGACTGCTACAGACTTACCTGAATTACTTGGAAACCTGCAATATAATATTTCCAGAAACACCAAGACGAAATGCAAGCATTTGCCTCAGGTTAAAGAGTTATCCTGGGGAGTGGCCTTAGACAGGAACTTCCCCAGGTCTTCTAACAACTTCGACTACATCCTGGCAGCGGACGTTGTCTATGCCCATCCCTTCCTGGAGGAGCTTCTCATGACCTTTGACCATCTCTGCAGAGACACTACCACTATCCTCTGGGTTATGAGATTCAGGCTGGAGAAAGAAAATAAATTTGTAGATAGATTTAAGGAACTGTTTGACCTGGAGGAAATTTCTAGTTTCCCTAGCCTGAATATTAAGTTGTACAAAGCTATGAAGAAAAATCGGAGGAGTGCATAGTGAATTAGGACCTAAGCATGTCAAGGTGTTTTTTAGTAGATATTGCTTTAAAGAAAACACACACACACACACACACACACACACACACACACACACACACATACACACACACACACACACACACACACACACCACTGTGAGAATAAAAAGTAACTCTAAACTTGCCTTATTGTAGGCAACGATTTTTACACACACACACACACACAGTAGGTGCATCTGTAGGATAATTTGTTCCTAAGTGTGTCTGCTCAGCACTCTAATTCCGTAATTACACAAACTTTCAGCAACATTCAACTAGATTCTCATTACAAAATGCTAATTTTCAATGATGATACCTCTGAGTATTATTAATTTCATTTCTTTTGAAAATGTAGCTTAAACTTGAGGCCTTAAACTTGAGATCTTTTTACCTCAGCCTCACGAGTGCTAGGACTACAGATGTGTAGCACACATCCATCCATGTTGTTAGTCCTCTTAAATGTAGGCTTGAAAGATTACATTTTTAGAAATCAGGAAACTGACTGTGATGGAATTTGCGAATAAATTTGAAAAGGCAGATATAGGATGTATGTCAGGGCCGGATGTCTGTGGTCCCCACCATGCCGGGGTAGAGGCGGGCTGTCATCACTGCTTGCAAGTTTGGACTTCTAGTGTAACTACTGAATCAACCAAGGATGTGGGTCTGAGGTTCCGGGCAAGAATACTTTCCTCTCATAGATAAAATATATGGATGGAAAGTGCAAGAATAAAAGATACCTGAGCTTAAACTGGGCTGTGGTCATGCACACCTTTAATCCCAGCACTCAGGAGGCAGAGCCAGGTGGATCTTTATGAGATGAGGCCAGCTTGGTCTACAAAACAACTTCCAGGACAGCCAGGATGACTCAAAAAAAAAAATCCTAATATTGCTGTTTGTTTTTGTTTCATAGAAATGAAAATAGTTATAAGAACTTTGGGTTGGAAGTACATAAAAAGATTTAGGTTCTTAGCCTCAAATAAACAGGCATGGCTTGTTTTAAAGTTTAAGGCCCTGCTAATAAGCACGGATATGCCTAGATATTTTTTTAAAAAAATTATGTGACTCTTTGAGAATAGAATAATGTTCAAATAATTAAAATCCATGTGGAAAGAGTTAAAGAATTAGGCCTTTATGTCTGGACTGTGTTTATTTACTTTGTATCCTACCTGTGACTCCTTCCCTCCTCCCTTCCCAATCTCACCCTCCTTCCCCTTCTCCACTCATGCTCCTCCCCCACTCCACTGATTGGGGAGGTCTTCCTCTCCTTCCCTCTGATCCTAGTCTATCAGGTCTCATCAGGAGTGGCTGCATTGTCTTCTTCTGTGGCCTGGTAAGGCTGCTCCCCCCTCAGAGGGAGGTGATCAAAGAGTAGGCCAATCAGTTAATGTCAGAGACAGTCCCTGTTCCCATTACCATGGAATCCACTTGGACACTGAACTGCCATGGGCTACATCTGTGCAGGGGTTCTAGGTTATTTCCATGGATGGTCCTTGGTTGGAGTAGCTCCACAAGGAGAGCAACAGAACCAAAAAATCTGGGCACAGGGGTCCTTTCTGAGACTGATACTCCAACTAAGGAAAATCTGAATTTGAATTGCTTTCCTATTAATGGGCTACCAGTTAAACGAAGAGTATTATGTCTGCTTGTCTCCTGAGAACAAATTATTTTAAATGGGGTACTCAAGATATACCTGGAAAGATGACCCCCCAGACATATGAGCATGTATTTGACAAAGATGTATAGATCCAGCATAGGGTCTAAATAGAAAACAATTTCTGTTTGCAAGGAATATTGGACACTTACTGGAATAATCGATTTGAAGGCATATGATGATCTCAATTGCAGCCTTAGATCTTATTCAATGAAATAAAAGAAAACTTTCGTCTGCAGAGGCTCTGAGAATGGGGTGAAGCTGGGAGATGGTTGTGTACAGTAACCTCAGGCCAGTTGGGTTAGGGCTGAACTTTAAAACGTCATCTGATATGTTAGTGACTAGGTTTGCTGAGTGAGCCTGGTGTTTGTTGCCTAGTTACTAGGCTGAGACGCTCCCTGTATCAGCCAAGCAGGACAGAGCTGTGGGGTGAGCTGAGGACAGCAGCTCCTGGAAACCACCTTCCAGCAAGCATTTCTTGCCATCCAGGCAGCCAAGGGTAAGGACAGAGGCACCCCGCAGAGCAGACAGGAGCCAGTTGCAGTGACATGGAACGTGGCAATGGGCTGCAGTGTCTGTAAACCTGAGATCCATCTTATATCAGGCACTTTGCTTCTGGACAGTGAATTGCTCAGTCAGCATCTCCTGCTGTCTGAAACCCTCTGACAGGTGACAGCCACCAGCCAAGGCAGGGCCGAGTAGCTCTGTGTGCTTCAGTGATGTCAGAGAAGCTACCCTACGAGAATCAGGTTTAGGGGATGGCGCCAATGTCTATGCAGAGCAGCGGCCAGGCTACTTAGTTACAGAATGTTCTACAACTAACAGGAGAAAAGGTGATGCTGATCCCACCAGCCCAGAGCTCGCTCTGAACCCCACTGTTCTTATGCCTCTCACATCAGCCCAAAGCAGGAATCACCAAAGTCTGGCACTTTGGGTAAATGTGGATGTGCCTCTATGTTGCCACTCTGCTTAGTCCTCTGCTCATCAAGCCTGCACCATCTGAAGCTAAACCTCTTCCTGTGCGTCCTTTCCCCCAGGATGCACTGAATGAATCAATTCAGAGAAGAAGGAATACCCTTACCTGAAGCCTTCCTGAACCCCTGAGTAACTAATGCCTGAGACTACACCTTTTTCAGGTTGCTGGGGCAATCTCTTTAGTATACATTTTAATATTACACAGGCTAACTCTTTTTTTAATTGTACTTAATAGTCTTGTTCTATTTATGTCCATTTGAGCCTACCACTTTTAGGGAGGTTGTAATCAGCTCATGAAGAAGTAAGAAAAATCTTGCAGAGATGACTTTATAGTCAAAGGCTAAGGACTGTGTTTATTGAAATTCTAGCTTAGGGACTCTGAGTTTTTTTTAAAAAAATACTTGTATGTTATTAAAGAACGGACACTGACAACATTTGATTTGATCTCCACAGTGGGTAATAGTTTAGTATAGTTAGACTCTTAATTAAAATGTGTTAATGATCCTTGTACTAGGGATGTGACTGCCAATCCGTACATTGTCTCTAGAAGAGAAGGTCTGATATATACAGTGACAGTCCTTTGGCTAGAGCATTCAGGGGTACTCAGAGACATGTCAGTGATGGAGTGGGTACCAAGAGAAACTCACCATGAAGTGGCCTTCATTTCTTCATTAAAGAAATGTACTTAGGAATCATCCCGTGTGTCACCCATCTGCACAACTGGCTGGATGAGCCAGATGACCTGCATGTTAAACTTTTCTTCTTCATTGTTATATAATGTTTTGGTAAGAGGCTACCATGTTTTCTTCTCCTCTTCAAATTTGTGATGAATTAGGGGTACCTTTTCTATGAACTGTCCTTGTAATATGTCCAAATAATCCCCATGAAGCAATCTGAAAAGCTCAAATTCATCATCATTGTAAAAAGTCATTTTGCCATGGGGGGGTGGTTCAGGAAACTCTGAGGATGGGATGGGGCAGGGTGTTAATTTTTTTCTTTCAACATATAAATATCTGGTCAGCACATTAGATTATATTGGTTTTTACTGTATGACTTACCCTGGAGAGACATTAAAAAATTGTCTAGGAGACCAGCACAGATCATGGAGCAGCAGGTAGGAGCTCCCACTCTACCTTCTCCATTTACTGGCCTGCCCTGGCCTGCCAGCAACAGTGGCTAGGTCTGCCCAGGGCCCCGAGCTTCACTTCCTCTGCGAGACCCACACCCCAGTTCCCCGTCCTGTGCCGTCTACCGGGACCCACACCAATCTTTGATCTGTGGCCCCTGAGGCCAGCACAGATCAGGGAACATAAGTTCCCTGGCCTGAGACATTTCCTGGGTTCCCCTGCCAATCTGTGGCCCCCCAAGACCAGCAGAGAACAGGGAGCAGCAGAAAAACCAGAGAACTGAGGCAATCTGGGACCACAAGCTCTACCTACAACTCCAGAGACCTATTACCATCAGAGTTCACCAGGCCTGCTAATAACAGAGTCAACCAAATGGTAGAGGTCAGTGCAAGAACACCAGCAATAAAACCCAGGGTCATATGACACCACCCAAACCAGGCTACCCTTCTATAACAAGCACTGAGGATCCTATCACACTGGAAGCACAAGAAAATGATCTTAAGTCTGAGGTTATGAAAATGATAAAGGCCTTAAAAGTAGAAAATAAATTCCTTAAAGAACTGCAGGAAATACAATCAAACAGGAGAAGGAACTGAGTAAATCCCTTAGAGAAAAACAAGAACATACAACCTAATGGGAGAAGAAATAAATAAAACTGTCCAGGACCCAAAACTGGAAATAGAAGCAATTAAGAAACATAATCCGAGGTAATCCCGAAGATGGAAAATAGAGGGAAGAGAACAGGAACTACAGACATGAGCATCAATAACAGAAATTAAGAGATGGAAGAGAGACTCTCAGGTGTAGAAGATACAACTGAAGAAATTGATACATCAGTCAAAAAAATGTTAAATAAAGAAGTTCCTGACACAAACATCCGAGAAATCTGGGACAATATGAAAAGACCAAACCTAAGAATAGTAAGAATAAAAGAAGAAGAAGACTCCAAATTCCAAGGCCCAGAAAATATTTTCAACAGAATCATAGAAGAAAACTTCCCCAACTTAAAGAAAGAAATGCCTATAAACAGACAAGAAGTCTACAGAACACCAAATAGATTAGACCAGAAAAGAAAATCCTCCTGTCACATATTAATCAAAACGTTAAATGTACAGAACAAAGAAAGAATATTAAAAGCTGCACAGGAAAAAGGCAAAGTCACATATAAAGGCAGACCTATCAGAATTACACCTGACTTCTCAACAGAGACTTTGAAAGCCAGAAGAGC